GGGGCTGCCGCTGCTGCGTGGGCCCGGGCGCAGCGCGGGGAGCCGCTGGGCGCAGCGCGGGGCCCTGCGCGTGCCGCGCTACCGGCGGGAGCCCGTGCGGTGGGTGCAGAAACGCCGAGCCCTCAGGGTGCTCTGAGAATCACATTTTTAAAAACTGTTTCAATGCATAACTGTTAATATTTGGGGGCGGGGGGCGTATTGTTTTTAAAATGTTGGGGAGATTTGTGCCTTTCTCGCCAGTACATTTTAATGTCACTGCATAACTGCCCTTTTTTTTTTTTTTTTTTTTTTTTTGGCATTACAAAAATTTTACAAGAATACTTTCATCTGCATTGCATATCAAATTTTGCTCTGAATGCTGATGTGAGGTGAAGAGAATGAATTGATTAAGCTGAAGATAATTTTGGTTTATATCTAGTAATTCATTAAAGAATATATTTTTTGAAAATACGCTATATATTTCTTTAAACATTGAAGGCCTGTGATAAATCTTTCTTTTATTCCCCTCCCTAAAGCATGCTTTCATCAGAAGGCACCGACTATTTGAGTCAGTGCCTTGGACCTACTTCACAAGTAGTAGCCAAGCCACAGGATAAGGATTCTTAATTCCTAATTATATTTAGAAACAAGTTGAAACATTAGACCTCTTACACACCCATGATGCCATGTATATTTGAAGAAAGTCTAAAGGCTACAATAAAGTTACTTGGTTTATATACCTAGATACTTATTCTTCTCAGAAAATTGAAAATAATACAAAATAAGCGAAACTTCTTCACGCTAGCACAAAACTGCACAATTTTTATCCAGACAGATCCAAAGAGCCTAATTATTGTTGGTATTGTAGTCTGCATTTGGATGTTTCTCATGCTTCTTTAGCTGCTGTAAGGAAATTTGATTCGAATGTGTGCTTTACCCCAGGCTCTTTTGGTTTTTCCCCAGGCTGTGCTCGCTGACCTGTCAACCCTCAAGGTGGTGCCTCTGCTTCAAATCTTCTTGTTTGCGACCGTCACTTGATCTGCTCCCACTCCTCAGACACCACGCTTCCCCTCTCGCGTTAGAAACTCATATCCAGCCGTGCGGGGTCTGCGTAAAGCCCAACCTAAGCTGTGTCTATAGTGCTCGTTTAGAAATCATGACCTTAATGCCGTTTTCTAGCTGAGAGCGGTAACTTTGCACCCCGGTTTGTGCACTGCATGCTGCTGAATTTCACCATGAGAGCAGTGGTTGGGACTTGTGCAAGAAGAACGGTTACCTGCGCAAAAGAGCAATGTGAATCAGTGTCTGACTGCATGTGATATTGGATGAAACAAAGGTAACGTAACTCTTGATCTGAGTGTTTGACTCTTGAGTGTCTGCTAATACCAGATTTGTAAAAACTCTCTTTTCCCACAAAGTTACTTTTGTAAACTTATGTTGTAGAGGATATCATCTCAAGTTGAATAAAGTGAGAAAATAAGGACACCTTAATTTACAAGATTTTTTCCTCACTTCTTAAAGAAAGATTTGAGACTGTTCTCCTGTCTCAATCTTACTCTTCTCGCTGAAGTTTTCCCCTTGTTCCTTCAGTTACTTCTATTTATTCTTTTTATGTAATCCTGTAGTAAATGCAATTAAATGCAATAATGTAATGTAAAGTGTTCTTGTAATGTAATGTAATGTAATGTAAAGTGGGATGTTCCCGTTGTCCAAGAGATGCAGCTGGGGGGTTGATCTCCAGAGGGGTGCCCGGTGAAGGCGGCGCCGCGGTGCGAGCGGGGCTGCCCAGGGGCGCTCGGCTGGGCCCCTGGGTCCGGGCTGCAGCCGCCCGGGATGCGGTTCCGGGCCCGGCCTCGTCCCGCCGAGCGACGGATTCTCGCCGTGCCGCCGGGCTCCTCCTCTGCAGCCATCGGGCTGCGCGCTGACCTCTGCCAGCTTCTGTGGTTAGTGCCAACGTGGCAGTTACTAAGCTTGGATTAAGGACGCGTTCTTACCAGAAAAAGCAGTGAAGCCCAAAGAACGTAAGTGATCGTAGCGGCTGCGTTGGCCATGGCACTTTTATCGCCATCTGAGTTACGTATGTGGAGCAGTCATCATTTGTCATACATACAGAATGTGTGACAGCGAAACACGAGCTCTGCCTGGGCTCTAGAGGCGACGCGTGAAAAACGGCCTACGCCACAGCCTCAGGGCGGGCCCTGAGCCTGAGGTCTGGGGTTCTCCTGATCCCTGTCTGGGTAACACAGTAGGAAACCTTGGACAAGATTTTATAGATGTTTTAAAATATAGATTATAGGTGAACTTCCGTAGATATCTTGCAAATTTGTAAAGCTATTTTTAAAAAATGTAAAGTTGTGGACTCAGCATGATGGCTTATGTAAAAGAGCTAAACTACTTGACAAGTATGACCCATTGAGAGAGAATTTTTTAGAAGTTTTATTCTGAACAAAACATAAATCTTTAATATTTGTAAGAAATGTTGTGTTGGCTTAACTAGAGGGTTTTATATGTCTAGTAGCTGTAAAAATACAGCATAGGGCAGCATTTATCCTTCTGGAAAGGATTCACCCAGTTTTGAATACGAGGAATAGAGGCATAGAAAGATTAAGTGATTTGCTAAAGGTTATCAGTTCTTAAAAGAGATAAATCTTCTCTCTCAAATTCCTGCTTTACTCCAGGATGCTCAATTTATGATTTTTAACTGCAAGACTATTTCATCTTCAAAGAGCTACATAATAAAGAGCTACCTACAAAAACTGCTGTATACTGCAGTTTTAGAATGGGAAGATTGTGTACGGACAGGTTGTATCAAATCTGGAAAGGAATTTAATGTTAAACCTGGATTCTGGAACTTCTGAGAGAGATTGTTTTCTCGTTTTGTTGTGTTCTTAGTTTTGCAAATGTATTAAGTAGGCAGAGATAGACTGAATTGCTGTTTGAAGAAGCAGATAACATATATATAAATAAATGGATACTTACATTGATTTCAAGGGCCTCTCGTTCAGAGTTCACAGAGTTGGCCTTCACTGTGAAGGTGCTTTTGTGCCAAATTACTTTTCTTGTTCTGTTTCTTCCCGCCTGAAATGGACATAAATAGACATTTCAGTTCAGGAAACAATTGCTTCCATATTTCTGGATAAAGATCAGTTTTTGCTGTTTACCTTAGTATTCTGGCTACGAGCTGTCAAGGGTGTCTGTACTGTCAAACAGACCATTTAATAGAAATGCAAAAGCAAATAAGCTTTACTAAAAACATACCTACGTTATCTTGTTTCAATACTTCCAAAAATATATTGAAACTTAAATCTTGATGGCCGGGGTAATGGAACAATTGAATAACAAGAACACTCTCTTAATTTTTGCTGTATTTTGGGGGTTGTAATAAAAAATTTTATTTTGAGAAATGTCGAGAACATGGAGACTGGAAAACAGAAATCTCGGTTAAGGGAAAAGACTGGGAAAAGGTGTTGCTTTAAAACAAATTTCTACATATTGCCAGCAATCACCAACAAAAAAAATATGCCCATGCCTCTTTTTTAATATAAATATATAATAAAAAATGAATTTTATAAAATTCTTAGAACAAGAGTGAGGTAATTTCACCACATAGAATTGAAGTATAAAGATTTTAATATGGGAATGTAAATCTGTGCGCTGCATATTAACACTAAAGAGAAGTGGAATTAAAAATAAATAAATTGCAAAAATTTAGGATTTTCAGAGAGGAGGGGGAAGAGCCTTTCTGCATTTTTCAGTCCATGGCTAAACTATTTCTCGGATGCGTTTCAGGGTGTTTTATGTTCGGAAATGGGGGAGGGAGGAGGAGGATGCGAGAGGAGCGGCTGGAGCAGCCCGGCTCTTCCCTCTCCCTCCTTTCCTCCAGGCTTTTCCTGTAGGGCCGGGCTGGCTGCTGGCCCTAGGGCGGCCTGGCTGCCAGTTTCTGTGAAGGGTTTGGGGGAGTAAATCGCAGTAAATAACCCTAGGAAATGAGACATCCACGGGGCGCCGTGCCACTCGCTGCGTGGCGGGTGGGTTTTCCCTGTGCGCTTCATGCTTCACTTCTGCAGCACCGTAATAAAAACACAGATGCAGGGAAGGTGAAGCTTCTGGCCGCTGCCACCTGGAATACATGGTGTTGTTGAGGATTATGACAAAAGCAAACCATGTCTAACAAAGGAGTTTAAACCATTGTACACAGCAAAGCATGCAGCTCTTTTCTGTGGTTTGATCGTTATAACAAAAACTTCCAAAAGGTTGTGTTATATTAAGAGACAAATTGGACTTTGACAGTCATAGACAAAATAATGCTATAACTACACAATGTTTTGGTAGGTATTTATTAGTTCATTTAATTCAACAGTTGTTTGTTCCACGAGTGGTGTGTTCTGTGATTTCTATCTGAAATGTTCAGTTCTGCGCTCCATGAGTCTGAGTATAAACAGCAGAGCAGTACAAATACATGCTGAGAAAAAAGCAATAACTTTTAATTTCTATTTGTTCAGAATTATTATCTAAATTTTTTTGATTGTATCTCTAGTGTCACAAGATTTTCCCTTTCCCACTTTTATTTTTCTAGTGCTTCTGGGTTACAATAACAGAGGCCCTGCTTTGAAGCCTGATTCTGCTTCGTTAACGTTGACGAGGGCCCCGACCGTGGAAACCTGGCGTGCTTACAGCCTGGGAAGGACGTTCCGGTTGCTTCCGGCGTTCGTTAGTGGTGCAGAAGTTTCCTTCATAGTTTCCAATGTAAAGACAGATTTAGATGTTTAATTTTAGTTTATGATACATTTGAGATACCCTGACCATCACGTCCTGCTATGGCAAGCTGCTGAAGACGAGTGATTAACTGATACGTATGGTGAAGTGCATTATTGGCTTGAGTAGGTTGCTGGGTTTCATACCCACCACCTATAAGGTACAGGCAGAAGAGCCCTTATCTCGCTACCCCAAATCACACGCTGCCCACTGTGGGGAAAGGGATTCTCAAAAGAAAGGGCTAATGGAAAAAAGTGCTCTAACCCCGTGGAAAATCTGCAAATAGAAAGGAGCTGTTTGGGGTATTGCAAAGGAGCATGCTTTTGTTTTCCTTCTGGCTTAAGCCTGTGTAACTAGCTCAAGCCAGAGCTTGAGCCTGTCAGCAACTAAATCATCGAAGTATAGAAAAGTGTTTCTGCATTTTCTGTTATTTTTGAATTTAAAAGATGGAGCAAGCAAGCTTTATTAAGTTGAATGATAAAAAAAAAAAAAAAGTTATTTTGATATAGGTAGATAAATTCTGAAAATCAAACTTTTACTTAGGTGGGGTATTTTTTGTGATTTTCTCGTTCCCTCTGCTTTTTCACATTAATCATCATTCTTAGATAGTTTTGTTCAGTTTGCTTTTTCCTCTTGTTGTTGTTGTTAAGTAGAGAGTATTGCTTAAAGCAAAGGCAAACCTTTAAGATAAGGACTTCATTCTTTCCCCGAGAAAGGTGTTCTTTCTAACTTAAAATGAAGAAATCCTGTAAAAACTTCAAAGGGTCCTTGTCATTCCATCCCCACATTAGATGGTGATACAGATAAGTAAGTGGCTGGCTTAAAACTGGCTTAAAGCTGGCTTAAAACAAGTATTACTATTTAGGTAGGTATTTGGTATTTAGACCTGAAAAGCAACTAAATGATGGAAATAGAAGATATTTGCACTTTGCAACAATCCAAGTTAATGAAAATGTAAACAGAGCCTGCCATCGATCTTCCTGAAACAGGAGGAGCTAATCCCTGAGAGGTTCTTGGTAGTCCTGGTGATTTTTAAATTGCTTTTAAAACAATTTAAAACTGGAGAAATTCTGTGGAGAAAGAGTGTACTACATACCAGCTTCTCAATTAAAATCAGAAAATGAAAGGAGTGATATATAGGCTAAGAAAGAAAGAGAAAAAAGACATTTTTCTTAGCCTGGATGGAAATATATATCTTTACTTGGAAGCTGGAAAATCATGTCTGGGAACATGCAGAGCACTTTGGCTTTATCAGAAGTCACACAGAAGAGTTTAAGTGCTAACTTCGAAGTGGGAAATGTTACCCTTGGCTGTATGTAAAACTCGCCCGTTTTGTCGAGGGAGGACCGAGATCCTCCTTTACGCAGAGAGACTTCTCTCCTTTGTTTCACAAATAGCAGATACTTAGGCAAGATCCTAGAGCATAAGGATAAGACAAAATGAAAGTGTTTTCAGCAAACAAAGAGAGATTAATTAAATCTGTACTGAGGGAAAAAAAAAAACCACAAAGATCACCTTACATGATATATACGCTATAAAGTTGTAATGTTAGAAGCTTTGCATTGTTTTCTAGTTTGTCAAATCTTTCCTGTCTCTGCAGATGATGAAATTCTCCCTCCATGGCTTTTTTTTTTTTTTTTTTAAGTAACCTTCTATAAAAAATAATATTTATGAGATTTATGGTCCATCTTTGGCTATTCAGATGCATTTTTTTTTTGTCATTGAATAGAAGAGTGTTTATAAATACATATTTGTATTTTCCTAGGCCAGAAGTAAGAACTATAATT